GCGGCTGTCCTTGTGGTGTGAGCTGCGGGGAAGCGTCCGGCGATGCCCCGTCCTCCTCCCGCGCAGGAGCCTCCCGGTCTGGTCCGGGGTCAGCGCGGGTCCCCCGGGGCTGCTCTCACATGTCATCGAGACCTCGGGCTGGGCGTTTGCTGCGGCGTGCTGTCCTCTGCTTCCAGGCTTCACCTCTGCTTCAGCCCCGCAGACGCTGCCTACGGTTGTGGTGCCGTTCTTTTAGCTTCCATGCTTGGAGCAAGGCTAAGGGAAGCAGGCTGGCGCGTAGCAGTGATGTCTCTTCTTAGACCGTGTGGAATTGTTGGTGCAGAAGAACAGATGAGCTTGTGGGTCCCTAAGCACTTCTGCCATGCCCAACTGGTCTTTATCTCTTTTCACCTAGTTTTGCCTCTGGAAGGGGACACATGCATGCTGTATGATGGCTGATTGTATGCAAGAGTTGCTTTTATTTGAATTTCAGTTCTACAGGCTAGTCCTAGTGAGCAGGCTCAGTCTGCAGATTTTCAGGCCTTGTCTTTGGTAAGGTGGATATATTGTACATCTGTTGAAGGTGTTGTGCCAGCCCCGCGCTCAGCAGCTCAGTGTGCTTGCCACAGGAGTGGCAGTGAAAAGCCTTCACAGTGGAACACATCTTATTGTATATGCTGAATTAATGCTTCTCTTCTAAACAAGTTCCAAACAAGTGGAAGGCTAGCGATGAGAGCAAGCAATGTGTTTCCACAGTAGCTTTTGATTCAGCAAGTACTGTGGTGAGAAGAACAGGAGGTTTCTGTTTTGCAGCCTTAAGAAAAAAAGAATTAAGGAATTGGTATGATGTGTCTGTTAACACACGCGTCTGTGGTCAGCTCCTGAAACGAGCAGCTCACCAAATACAGTTATGAGCTCATTCACGCCAGTGAGAGAAGTCTGTGGTTTGGGTTCTTGTTTCCTCCTGGGGTTCGCCGTTGTCTACATGTGACCACAGCTTTGGCTGTGTGCTCAAATGGAAATTAGTTGGATAGTTGTCAAATAGCATGACAAGTAGTTCAAAAACAATTGTATTGGGGGAAAAAAGTTATGTTTTTATGTCATTGATTATTTCAGATAAAGCATTCAGTGACTCTTTGCTTAATTCATCCTCATATACTTGGAGGGCTAGTGTATTGTATAACTGAGAGGAAAAAAAATGCAGCATGACTATGGAGAAAGGGAAGCAAAGTTTAAACATCATCTTTTATGCTTATTTGTAAAAGTGAGCCTCTCAGTCAGGAGTCAAATCATGTCCTCCTTCACATAAATTTTCTGTCAAAACTAAAGTGTAGCATTGGGGTTTGCTTGTAGTAGTGGACAGTGTTTTGAGATGCTTGTTGAGCTCTGAGCTGGCACAGGTGATTCTTTGTCCCCTTCCTGGGTCTTTTGTTTTAGGTGTAGTAAGTGTCACTCAGTAACAGTGGTTTTTAGGTACTGGCTAGGATAATGTTAACGGAACTATTTAAATCTTAAGTGTTTATTGACATGTAGATTCAAAGGTTAGGAAACAGGAAGGTTTTGGTTCTGAGGATAATCTTTTTCTGTATAATCCAAGGTAGGGGTTTGGGTGCCCGTGGTGGATTGTGTTGCCTGTTCTCCCACTTGCTTGTTGGGTCAGTCAGGGAGACCATTCTCCTTCCCTTGAGTCTTGTCTGCCTTATTTGTAAACTGCATAGGACAGGGGCTCCCTGTTGCTTTTTACTTGAAGGGGCAATGGGCACAAACTGAAGCATGAGAAGTTCCGTCTGAACATGAGGAAGAACTTCTTCCCTCTGAGGGTGACAGAGCACTGGAACAGGCTGCCCAGGGAGGTTCTGGAGTCTCCTTCTCTGGAGATATTCAAGACCCGCCTGGACCAGGTCCTGTGCAGCCTGCTGTAGGTGACTCTGCTTTGGCTGGACTAGAATGACCCACAGAGGTCCCTTCCAACCCCTACCGTTCTGTGATTCTGTGATTTTGTATCAAGTCCGTGAAGCATTCATTTTGCGTGGCTACTGATAATCTCCATGAAACTGTATTTTATAGCTCTCCATTTTACAGTTTCTTAAAGTATTTATCAAAACAGTTTTAACAGAAAACCGTATTGGGATGCGAGTCTGATTTTTGTTTTGTTGAAATGAGTGTGGACTAAAATTTGAGTTTATAACTGGGAGGGCAGAGGGGGAAGAGTATCTCTTTCTGATGCTATGGATATTCTCATGTCTTTTTCATGCTTATTATGGCTTCCTCACTGTTATATAAATTCTGTTCCATCTATACATTACCTTTTTTACTGATTTTTCTGAGCAAGGTTTCTAGTGTCCTGTGCATAAAAGGCTGCAAGTTTACTGTATCTGAGCATGTACAGAGAACAGAAACCTTAATTAACTTCTAGAAAGTGGAAAGAAATTATTCAGATTCAAAATGCATGTGTATGTATTTTCTAGGAACACAGTAAAACTGAATAGGTTGCATGGGGGCTGCTACTCAGAGTGTCTGCAAAGTTCACAGAAAAACTGTTTGGGTTGGGATCAAATATCTTTTTTAAAAAAACTCAGTTCTTTTGAGAACTTTGGAGTAGCTTAAAACGTTACTTTGAAATGCGGCATAACCTAAACAGTAGTGGAAATGGCAAAGCCCTGGTAAGGCTGCAAATGGGCGTTCAAATTTTAGAGGCTGTAAGTCCACTTGGAGTGATGAATTTTTTTTAAAAAGAAAACACTTTGAGGAAGTTTTATGATTTCTTTTGTTTACAGTTTGAGAGTATGATTATGCAGTCTCCTATGCTTTGGTTGGTTAAGCATTTGGAATTTAATCCGAGTCTTGTTTAAAAGTCTTATCTCAGAAGCCTGTTTAAGGAAGTGTTGATTTAGGATTGCAGTTAACTTTTACTTAATCTTACTTACTTTACTTAATCTTACTTACTTTACTTATTCTCTTATTGCTTGATTGGGAGGGAGAATAATTCCTTAATTCCACATACCTTGACGAGAACATTTCTTTTGATCTTCCACTGTTTGCTTTGTCCCTATTAGAGGTTCTAATAGTCTCTAGTGTTTCAGGTAAAATTACGGTTGATATTTAAACTCAAATTAACTTCAGAGAAATCTCTGTATATGACTGGTGGCATGGTTTTAGATATGACTGCTTAGGGTGACACTTTCTGAAACCTGCGCTTCTAGCCAGACTTCTCACAATGCTGCTTTGAAAGTCTGATCACTTAAGCTCAAGTGCCTTAAGCACTCAAATCTGAAGCAAAGGACGCTCGAAAGTCTGGATGTGACTTTTGGTTGCTGAAATCTTTGAGTTTTGTTAGTTTCTGTGCAAATAGCTAATGTGCAGTGTTCTTAACAGCTTTTTGCAGAGAGAAGAAAGATGGAAAGTAATGCAGTTTTGCTGGAATCAAAGTCCTCTCCTATCAACCTTCTGAATGAAATGCATCAGCTGCGTCTCCTGGGCCACCTCTGCGACGTGACTGTCAGCGTGGAGTACCAAGGTGTCAGGGCAGAGTTTGTTGCTCACAAGGCTGTATTGGCAGCAACAAGCAAATTTTTCAAGGAGGTGTTCCTTAATGAGAAGGGCATGGACGGGCCACGGACCAACGTGTTCTTGAATGAGGTCCAGGTTGCCGATTTTGCTTCATTTCTTGAGTTTGTCTACACTGCTAAGGTAGAAGTGGAAGAAGACAGAGTGCAGCGTATGCTAGAAATAGCTGAAAAGCTGAAGTGCTTGGACCTCTCGGAAACCTGCTTTCAATTAAAGAAGCAGATGCTTGAATCAGTGCTGTTGGAGTTGCAAAACTTCTCTGAATCACAGAACTCTGAGGAAGAGAGCGCTACCCAGCCAGGCATTTTGCTTGAGTCCAAAGCAGCTGCTGTGGCAGAAGCTGACCAGGTAGATTGTCCTCTGGATCCTCCCGATTCCCCAGCAGACAGGCCCAGTGATGGAGTGTCCCCTGAGATGCCGGCTACCAAATCAAAAGAGAAAATGGACAAAAAAAAGGAAGTGATGAAGCCTCCTTATGCCAAAATCAGAAGGGCGAGTGGGAGACTGGCTGGGAGGAAAGTATTTGTGGAAATCCCAAAGAAGAAATACACAAGGCGGCTGAGAGAGCAGCAGAAGAATGCAGAGGTTGCTATTGAAGGTGGCAAATATCCTCAAGACCAGGATATGTGTGATACGGAGAGGGAGGAGGAGCAAGCGGAGAACAACATCAAACCTGAAAGTGAAGAATGCGATGGCAACTGTGAATCAGAAGAAAACCTGAAAAAATCCGAAGAGGACAGAAAGAAACGAGGCAGCAACTTCAAGTGCAGCACATGCGAGAAGGAATTCCTGTATGAGAAAAGTTTTTTCAAGCACGTAAAGCACAGCCACGGCATCGCAGCTGAAATAATTTATCGTTGTGAAACCTGCAGTCAGACCTTTGCCAACCGGTGCAACCTAAAAAGCCATCAGCGCCATGTCCACAGCAGCGAGCGCCACTTCCCTTGTGAGCTCTGCGGTAAGAAGTTCAAGAGGAAGAAGGACGTCAAGAGGCATATTCTCCAGGTTCATGAGGGTGGTGGGGAGCGTCATCAGTGCCAACAGTGTGGAAAGGGGTTGAGCTCCAAAACTGCCTTGAGGCTCCATGAAAGGACGCATACAGGCGACAAGCCTTATGGGTGCACAGAGTGTGAGGCTAAATTTTCTCAGCCTTCTGCACTTAAAACACACATGAGGTATGAACAGACTTAACTGGCCTTGTAAGATTCTGGGGGGAGAAGCAGAATCCCCTGGAGCACACCTTGAGCCTTCAAGTGAAGTGGGGATGTAAAACGTGACTGACTGGAAAGTGTCCGTATTTCCTTTCTTCATAGCTTTTTTTTCACCTGCTTTTCGGTTTAAGGGAATTGCTGTAATTTTCTTTAAGCCAAAGTAGAGGTGCGTGGGTCAAGGCCTGCCGCTGCTGAAGCACAGTTAACTTTTCTCATAGGAGTAGACTGTTAAGAGTCAGTGGGATGTTTCATATGAGAAAAGAAACACCCATGCCAAATTATTGGTGGGATTAGGGCTATAATTATTTCAGCTAATTTGAGGCCTCTTTATATTCAATAGAATAATGTTACGCAGTAAGTATGAAAATATTCTAAAAAGATTTGGCCATGCGTTAAATTGAAGAACACTGGGTTTGGGAGCTAAGCATAGAAATGATATGTGACCAGAAACAGGCTGACACGCCTAGAAGTGAGTGAAGCACCGAAGATACCCACACGGAGCTGATGAAATCAGTTGTAGTGTGTACATTGCAGTGAGACTCAAAGGTGGAGGTGCAAACACATGGTCTTGAAAGTTCATGGGAGAGACATTCTTATCAAGGCAAAAATTCTTGCTACTAAGGGCTTCGGCCTGCTTTTGCCAGTCCACCAAAGCAATCGTCTGCAACCAAAATTCAGATTATAGCCAGGGAGTAAGCGTGGAGAGGGGGATATAGAAGAAATATCCTGAAGTACTACTGCTCGGATCCAGAAAGAGAATGCAGTAGTGTCAGCATATTCCTAGGCAGCATTTCTTGCAAGGTAGACGGGTTCGTTAACCACTGCTTTATTTCACTGCCCCTTTTGAAGTCGGTGGGTTTACTGCCAGTGGTGGAAAGCACATCCAGAAGCAAACTTCTGCTACAGTGCTGCTATGATGTTATTGCTGATGCAGCTGTATGGCATTTCTCTTTCATCATGTGTCCTTTTCTAACTGCAAGTAACTGCATTATGCTGCTTAGAAACTGTTTTTTGGCATAAGCGAAGTTTCTCCTCCATTATGCACCACTATGGCTTTTCAGTAAGCTTACTGAATGCTGGAAACTCAGTGCTGTCCTTGTGTATCGTGAGAGTCTGTAGTGAGAATTTCTCGGGGTTTTATGTATGTTTTTACATCTGTGCCCCTTGTGTTGATGTATTGCCATGAAAACTGGCCTGTGTTGCTTCCTGCAGCATTACTCAGTAGAGGCCTGAAGTGTCCATGGGCTCACCATTTAACGTAGAGGAAACTGGAATATATAGGCAACAATTCTGTAAACTGCCCTTCGTGTACACACAGCCTTCGCCAGGCACACTGCGGGCTGGGGGTGACAGCAAGAAAAATAACTGTATAAAAGTGGCGTCTTTTTATTCTGCTCCTAGGATGCCACTTGTTCCAGAGTAGCCAGTGACTCTCTATTTGATGGCCCTGCAGAAGCAGCATGCCAGGGAACACATCACTCACATTGTATGTGGAATATTTCATTGATAGTGTCAGCAATATAAAGATACCTGCTTTACTTCAGATCCCAAGATGGTTACATTTTTCTTTCAGTCTGTCTGTCTGGATAAAAGTTTTCTAAACTTTACTCAATTTTTACCTTCAAAGGTTTGCTTTTACACTAAAAATATTTCTGGATCTGAGGCTTGATCATGCAGCTCATGCATGATCAAGCAATAAAGCAGCACTACAGAAACCACAATGCAGAATTTGGTCCAGCTGGAGGTATTTTTAAAAGATGCTAAAGTCTTGCACAGTCACTCTTCAGAGAGCAGCCACAAAGTAAAGACGGTTTGCGTTGTGCTGCAAAGGAGAGAAATGTAGCTCAGTGCTTTAATGTTGCTTTCTCATTTCAGAATCCATACTGGTGAAAAACCTTTTGTCTGTGATGAGTGTGGTGCCAGGTTCACTCAGAATCACATGCTTATATATCACAAACGATGTCACACAGGTAAGGCTTTCTTTTACAATGTACCACATGTAGGAGGAGGCCTGCGGTGAAACCAGGAGATCTTATTTTCTTTCAGAAAATGCTTTTTTGTTGGTTTTTATGTAAAATCAGATATTGTCATCCCTAGACGCAATTTTACTGAGAAAGGTTCCTGTAGGTGGATAGGCAGACAGTGGAGAGGGTAAAAGGAGCTGTTACGGTTTGGCTGCGGCCAGCAACAAAAGCGCCACGCGGCTGCCCCTCCCCCCCACCAGGGTGTGGAGGAGAATGGAAAGAAACAGGCAGAAACTGGTGGGTTGAGATAAGGGCAGTTTAACAGAGCAGCAAACAAAGGGAACAAGAATGATACAGATAAGGGGAAAACACAACACAAACCGCACAACTCAGAGAGCCGCTCCCACCGGCCCACACCCCCAGCCCCCACACCCCCGCCGCGCCCCCCCCCCCCCACCGGAACCCAGCATGACAGCACATGGTATGGAATACCCTGCTCTGTTTGGCCAGGTGGGGTCAGCTGTGTCCCTTCCTGGATTCCAGTGAAAATTAACCCTGTCCTGGACAAACTCAGGACATTATCCACCCCTTATTCCATACCATCTACGTCATGCCCAGGTCCCCCATTGTCCAGCTGATCACCACCACTTCTCCTGTCTCCAGATACCATTCCCTTAGTCTATGGATCATCACTCTGAAGTGTCTGTTGAGTTCATTTAATCCATGACTTTGGGCTCCATCTGTCGTAATGGTCTTCCATGGCAGGAGGGGGGATGGGTGGT